TATAGGACTTAACAAGAAAGAAGGATTGTCTATGGATACGATGGGTGCATAGCTTTTACATAAAGAATAGAGACATTGAAACAATGAATACTCCTAAGACAGCATCTTGGGTAGTAAGGAAGATACTGGACAATAGAGGTGTGATCATGGAGCATCAGCAAATTCAAGGAAATATTCATAACAGATTGCAGGCAATGTGCAAGGATGGGAAATTCCAGATCAAACAGATGTATTTGAAGCTGATTCCTGAGTATTGCAGAGTTGAACGGAAGAGTTTAATGCTGCATACAAGTGTACATCCAAGACATAGATTCACTCTTTGGCTAGCAGCACAACAGAGACTAACAACAGTAGACAGATTATTGAAGTTTGGTGTTCAAGTGCCAGCAGGTTGTGCATTCTGTGGACATAGTCTAGAATCTTTTAACCACTTATTCTTTGAATGCTCAATCACAAAGAAACTGTGGTCTAGACTATGTGACTGGCTGGGGCATAAGAGGAATATTGGTGATTGGGAAGCTGAAATGGAATGGATATGCAAGAAAGCTAAAAGCAGGAAAGGGATCAGCGCTATAACCAGCTGTGTTTTTGCCAGTACTATTGCACTGATCTGGAGGGAGAGAAACAAAATCAGATTTGAAAAAGGAAAATATGATGAGCACCAAATATGCAGAGAGATAGTGCTGCACATTCATATCAGAGGCAAGAAAAACAACAAATGGAAAGGAGCATTACAGCAACTGGATAGGATCCCATAAAGAATTGAAATGTAGAATTGTAATAGAAAGTGCTTATAAATAGTGTCTGTAATTAGTGATATAGGCAGATAGACACTTAGTTTGGATAGCTAATTGTGATGTAAATAGGGTAGTAGTAAGTCAAAGCTACTACTGGGGCTCAAATTGTAAAAAAATTTTGAGTATCAATAGAATATAATTTTAACTCAAAAAAAAAAAATTAAACCAAAAAATTAAAACTTCAGAACAGTTGACTAATTCCTAAATAGCAGCCCTCTAAAATGGCTATCTAATTTCATTTCTACCATTTAGAGTGGGTTGATCTATTTAGACAAATCTACTGGGCTCAACAGATTATAGGCCCGTTAATATAATAACGGATTCTGCTGAAAATCAAAAGTGACGAAGAAAACGAAAAAGATACGCCGTTGCCGGGGATCGAACCCGGGTCACCCGCGTGACAGGCGGGAATACTTACCACTATACTACAACGACTTTGCTGGTAAGCTAAGATAATACAATAAATTTAAACCATTAATGGCAAACAAAGTAGCAGCATCCAGAAAAAGAATAGGGAAGGTTCCTGTTTTAGCAAAGGGCCAGAGAAACTTTTTACTTATGAGTCGGGTATAGAACCAATTGGCGATGTTTGGTTATGCCACTAAGCTTTCACGAGGATGAAATTATATCGGATTTTGCTCGAAAGTAGTTGATAAATCTTTCAAATTATTAAAATGATCCGTGAAAATATATAAGGAGGAAAAAGGTAAAAGATGACATTCTTTTGATGAAAACATTTCATTATATACAGTGTGAACTACTTTTGAATTAGTAGTAATTTAATTAGGTATTTGTTTTAACATTTAACTTTTGACTTTGTTTATTAATATTGGGTACTTAAAGTACTTTTTTTATGTTACTTTTAACTTTAAAATATATAAAAAGATAACCACATTAGACACCTTCAAGCATCTTAATCATTAAGTGCAGCTTGGATTCTGACGATTACATAAGCAATTGATTTTGATAATTAACATGGACTCATTTTTGCAATTTAATGAGACTAAACATTGATTTTGACATGCATTTGTCAATATCATAATGATTCTTATTCAGTGAATAATTACTTATCTAATATAGGGTAAAAAGTAAAAACTTTAGAAAAAGATTTTGAAAGGATGAGGATTTTTTCTTGCTAATACTAGAAAAATTAGCTATTTGATAAAGGAAGCTAGAAATATACATTGAACACATCATTGTCCGGTAAAAAAGTTGATGCACTCGAGAAGAGAACATGTAGATTTTGCCACGTTAGCGAATTAAAGTTAAATTTGAACGAGTTAAAATGAGTGGACTAATAACCGTTCAAAAAAAAATTAGGTGATATAGTTTGATTAAGATTATATTTGAATATCTACATTTTATATACAAAAACCAAATATTATAATGATTTTACTGGTGATTAATAAAATATGTTAGTTACAAAAAAAAAAAAATATAGTATTAAGTATAATGTAGGTATTAAGCTGCTGATAATAGGTGAATTTAACTATAATCACGCCTTAAATAATCACCTTCTTGTATAGTTTTGAAGATAAAAGTGATAACAAAATGCTCTTAGTAGTGCTTTCATGATTTGCAGGTGATATATGATAAGGGAAGGCTAGGGAGTATTTTTGGAGTCAATAATGAAGAAAAAGAGGCCAACTGTGAAATTCCCAAGTAAACCACGCAAAACAGGCTTGAAGATTCAGAAAATTAGTTTGACCGCGGTTCCACCGCGACCGCGGTAGAACCGCGGTGGAAGATAGCTGCGGATAAAACAAGATTCAGAGAGGGCATTTAGCCGCCGTTTGACCGCGACCGTAGCAGAACCGCGGCGGAAGCAGAAAACTTCAGGGACTAAAGTGTAAAACACGAGATTTTTAGACCTACACCCTATTTTAAATACAAGACTTCGCCCAAGAGAGGCATGTATTGAATTTTAGAGTATCTTGGCAAGGAGAATAATTGTGAGAGATCACCCAAAACATCTTTCTTCTTTTCTTTGATTTTTATTGCTAGTTATGATGAATTCTATCTTAGTTTGTGTTCCATAGCCATGAGTAGCTAAATTCTTTTTTAAGGCTTTGATGGAACCTATTGGGGGATGAACATCTTGTTTATGTGAATACAAATTGCTAGCTTCAATCTCTATTTGTTCAACTTTGTGCTTGTTGTAGTTAATTGACAGGATCCTCAATTAGCTGTGCCTATTTAGTGTGCATAACTTGGAAAAGAGTGCATATTTAGGTTATTGTTGAACAACACCACTCCCAAAGTATAAGAGGAATCTATAATTGCCGGTTTAAAGGCGGGATTAGGGAAAACGAAGCCTTGGGTGTAATCTAAAGTGAATTGTGCTAACTAAAGTAAGTTATTGTATCTCGGGAGAGTGCAATTAGTATATTACTGTGATTACTCGGGAGAGGATTTACGGTAAGAAGAGCGTTCATGATTGATAGAGATGTGTTGGTAAATTTGTGTGAGCATAAAGAGAAGGGATTCTTCCAATAGGGAAAAATCATTGCCTTAGCTTCTTCTCATCATTGTTTACAACCTTAGCATTTTAATTATCAGCTGTTCAAGTTACTTGCAATCGTAGTTAGTAAAGCAACCTTCAATTGTGATTCAAACATCTGGGAAACTGATTCTGAAAAGTTTAGTGGGTCTAAAGATAGTGATTGATAGGTTAACTCTCTGTGGATTCGACCCTGGGTGTAATACTCGGGTTATATTTGCAACGTCCGCAGAGTCCCTTTTAGAGGATATAGTTGGCGTGATCAGCTGCAAATACATTTTATATGCAAAAACCAAATATCATAGTACTAACGCAGAGACCGCATTGACTTCGTGGCTAAATGATTGCCGCATTTTGAGTGTTTTCTAGTTTCTTCTGTCTCTCTTATTGCGAAATTTAAAAATAGCCACAGTTTCAAAGTAATCGAAATTTAGTAATTTTTCATGTAAAGATAAATTTGAACAAAAATACTATTCAAAATCCGACATAACATACTGGAGATTGGAGCACCGTGCTCTAGTCTCCAGTATATTTTACTGGAACTTTCCGCGTGTTGGAGTTCCAGCATAATATGCTAGAAGTTCATACACTGGTGCACCGATCTCCAGTATATTATGCTGGAACTTTCCGTGTTGCAGCAAAACAATGGCTATTTTTCAATGATTTTGCAAATGGTGGCTATTTATGAATGGCCAGTCTGAAAACTGGCTAGCCCGTGCTATTTTTACCATATTTTTTGGTGGTTATTATCATTTTTCACCCGCGCCAGAAACTATTTACATTCGTTAGCAGAAAAAGTATATAATTTTTTTTATAATTTTTGTATATAACATACAGAAAGCATATATATACAAAAATATATATTTTCGTCTTTATTTTGAGAGTGACTATATGATATCATTTTCCCTTTATTTTCTTTCTATTTGGTGTTCATACTTATTTTAGAATCCGGCTAATTTGGATTCGTGTTGTATAGTTTTACTTTGAGGTAAAATATTTCCTATAAAAAGCGACTTTACTCGAATTCGAACTCGAAATCTCTAATTAAAATAAAAAAAATATTTATCACTCCACCATAAGCTTTGATTGTTCTTATTGGCTTATGTCGCCATTAAAGAACTCACTATACTAATTAATTAAGACACGCTGTTTCTATCGAACTCTCTAGAGTAATTAATAAGATATAATTTTATAAGTACTAGTTTTGCTGAAAATGTTGATTGAATTTTGGTTGCGATATTTCAAATTCTTTGAATGAAAGAACACATGTTAAAACACACTAAATTAATTGTATATAATTTCTAATATTAATTAATTATCATGAATTATTTTGAGATAAAATTCAATATTAGATCAATCAATGGATAAATCTCACTCACAATATCTTTGTAACAATTTGTGTAAGTTCAATAAAAAAATTAAACATAAATATAACATGTTAATCGAAAGAATTGTAGATGCTGACGGACTCGTCATACATTTCCAAAAAAATGTATTTGACTTTTACTTTTCACTTTAATTCTAGGAGATAGAAGTTTAGTCAAAAGATTTCTCTAGTTATGTCTAGAAACTACAAGTAAATAAAATATCGTTCCACCGCCTTCATGTGAAGCTTAAATCAATTTTTTAATATTAATAAATTTCACAAACAACATCAATTATTACCCTATATAAACCATTTTCCCTCAAAGACAAAACAAGAAAAACACACAAAAATAAAATCCAAAAAACCTTGCCTTCTTTCCCAAGTTTCATTTCAAACATATTGCAATTCTTAAACATAATTTCGATTACCATTAATTTCTTCTTAAATTGATTTGCTTAATTTACAAAAATGATGAGCCGTAGTGTAACGAGGATAGCTCGTTCTATGATAAATCATATTGGTCCACGTAACTTTTCAACTCTACGTCCGGTGGCCGGAAATGAAGCCGGAATCGGAGTTGTCACCGCCGCAGCCGGTTTCTTGCATGGGAATTCAATGAAGGGTTCCGAAAAGGTGGTGGCGCATTGGGTTAGGTACTTTTCGGTGATGGGCCCGCGTAACGCGAGCACTGTAGCTTTGAGTGACAAGGAGCACAATGATCAAGACGATCAGAAGATAAATCAAAGCGGCGCTACTGGTAGGAGCGCCGCCGCTACTGATAGTGGGAATAATAAAGGAGTTGTTAGCTATTGGGGTATTCAGTCTCCTAAGGTTACAAAAGAAGATGGTACACCATGGAGGTGGAACTGCTTTATGGTAAGTTTGAATTTACAATTTGGTTTCTATTGTAAATTTTCATGTTATGTTTTTTTTGCACATTTGGAGTGTTATAATTTTTTATATACATAAGTTCTATGCACGAGCAGTGTAACTTGACATTTTCATGTTGCATATTCTCATTGATATTTATACTCACTTCACCTTTTTTATCAGAGTTCTCGACTTGAAGCCCTGAGAATAAAAAAATTCCTTATAAGGAATATATCCCTCTTTAATGCTCGTACATGGCATTAGTCTGAATTAGCCTGGCCAGGAGTTACCTGATATCAAATGATTATACCAAAAAATACTATTGTAGACGTTTACATATACAGTCAGATCGCTCTATAACAATATTCATATATAACATTCAATTCATTATAAAGGCCAAGTCTTTTCGGAACGAATTTTTATATTATGTTATTATATATATCCGCTTTAACAAGAGTTCACTAAAGCAGCCAAAAGATATTGGAACTGACGAGGCTGCTATAGAGGGATTTGACTGTAATTGATTTTTAAAAGATATTTGACATTTTAAGTTACCATTTGATTATTTGAAAATTTAGACGAATACACAATATATTGATTCTATTTTTAAATTTATTTTGATGAATTTGGATGTAGCCATGGGAGACGTATAAGGCAGATTTGTCAATAGATCTGAAGAAACACCATGCGCCAGTGACGTTGTTGGATAAAGTGGCTTATTGGACAGTCAAGGCTCTTAGATTCCCTACCGACTTATTTTTTCAGGTAATTTTTCTTTTATTTGTGCCTTTTTAATTTTGGATCAGCTTGTAAATAAATAATCTTCACTTTCAATTTATAGTATATGACATAGGAGATTTAATAACAACTAGCCTCAATAGGAAGTTGAAGTCGACAATAACTACTAGGCCGCCTCAATCTAATATTTCTTGAAATTTTAATAGGTTTTCATATATATATATATATATATATATATATATATATATATATAGGTCACGGGTTCAAGCTGTGAAAGCAGTCATTCACAGTCACTAATGCTTGCATTAGGATAGACTGTCTACATCACACTCTTGAAGTGCGGTTCTTTTCCAGACTCTGCATAAATGCGCGATACCTTGTACACTGGAATCCCTTTTTTCATATATATATATATATGCTTTACGTTTGAAAATATGGAGTTTGGATGAACCCGTTGCCTAATAGCTCCACATGCCATAGGCAAGAAAAATACTTCTAGGAAGTTCAATTAAGCTTCCATAGGAGATTTGTAGTCTAACGACTACAACAACTCTGTGTCAGTCAATATCAAGTTGAGGTCGACTATATAATTTTCACTATTTGTCTCAATTTATAGCATGACGACATACGAAACTAATAATTCGAATGTGTTACAGAGGAGATACGGTTGTCGCGCGATGATGTTAGAAACTGTGGCAGCAGTACCAGGGATGGTTGGAGGAATGTTATTACACTGCAAATCGTTGCGCAAATTCGAACACAGTGGTGGTTGGATCAAAGCATTATTAGAAGAAGCAGAAAATGAGAGAATGCACCTTATGACATTTATGGAAATAGCAAAACCAAAATGGTACGAACGTGCACTTGTTTTTGCAGTACAAGGTGTATTCTTTAATGCCTATTTTGTGACATATCTTTTGTCACCAAAATTGGCACATAGAATTGTTGGATATTTAGAAGAAGAAGCTATTCATTCGTATACCGAGTTTCTTAAGGAGTTGGATAAGGGAAATATTGAGAACGTCAGGGCACCAGCTATTGCGATTGATTATTGGCGTTTGCCAGAAGATTCGACTCTTAAAGATGTTGTCATGGTTGTTAGGGCGGACGAGGCTCATCATCGCGATGTCAACCACTTTGCATCGGTAAGGATTACATAAAGAGTTTAATTTCTATACGCTGGTGATGGCCTTATTTGAGGCCATCCGTTAGTCCAATGAGCTAAATTTGTCTGTAAAGAAAAAAATTCATCCAACTTATTTTAAAGGAAAAACATAGCAATATTGGACTAGTGGGGACATGATTTAAAGAGTGGCCACAAAAGGGCCAATGGTGCAATTTTTTTTTGCTGTTAGTGAAAAAGGGTTTTAGACGATCAAATAAGTAATTGTCCATAATAAGTGAGATTAGTTGCCTGAAAAATAAAATTGACAGCGTGTTATAACTTGTTAAACTAGATTAATGTTAAAATAACTTGTTAAACTAGATTAATGTTAATAGAGCCAACGGTGAAAAAAATTCCATTGTCAGTGTAAAAGGGTTTTAGACGATTAAATAAGTAATTCTTTATAATAAGTGAGACTAGTTACCTGAAAAATAAAATTGGCAACCTGTTATAACTGGTTAAACTAGATTAATGTTAAAATTATGTTAAAATTTTTAGTATATACAGTTAACTTTTTACATACAATGAATTCTTGATTGCAGGATATTCATTACCAAGGACAAGAGCTGAAGGACTGTCCAGCCCCACTTGGGTATCATTGAGACAACAGACATCTTAGCTGAACCAAATTAAAGAATGCAAAATAGTGATAATATTATTGATTTGTGTAGGACTAATATCTTGATTATTGTACATAATACTGTCTCATCTTATACTATGAGTTAGAATGGTAATAAGTCCTCTGTTTTGCATTACAAGTGATTTGTGTAATTACTAAAACATTAATAAATTAAAGACTCATTGATAAAAAAAGGGAATCTCATTTATATACATTTCTTCTTACTACATATTACTCCCTCTACCCTGATGTGTACCTAGTAAAATTGACCTATAATAATAGGTAATTTTTCAGATCAAATATGATATATTAAATGAAAAATATAGAGTACGGATTTGCTATAACCAGCTAAATTGTACCGATAACGTAAAATTATGATCTGAATTCGTATTTTTTCTATAAAAAATAGAAGAATTGGTGTGAATCGATTCTACATTGAAGAAAGAATCGAATATTCATTGATATATTATCAGCGTACATAAGTTAAATTCAGAATCGAAACTACTACAAGATGACCTTTAGTCACTAAAACAGTTGTATGAGAAGGAAAAACAGAAAAATTAGCATTGCAAGCCCCCATCCTCCAAACTCGTCTTCGTATCCATAAACACGACTCTGCTGGTAGCAATTCTCTTGAAAAGAAGGCAAATAAACACTTGCTAAATATATTATGATGACCAAAGCAAGAGGGCCGATAAGGATTTTTGAAATTGTATAAGTAAACAATATGAAAGAAAGAGGTAGTATAATTGATTGGGTTGTATAGTAAACTAAAAGGGTAGTTAAAAGAGGGATGACAAGGAAAAATGTGAAGTTTATATCTTCTGCTAATGAGACAGTGTTCATAAGGCATTGACCATGAAGGAGTAATCCTAAAGTGAGTACAAGGAGAAGAGGGATCAATGGAGATGGCCCTTTGGCCATATTATAAGATATTGACAATCTTGATTTTCTCTAATGAATTGAAATACAAGAAATTAAAATTGATAGAGTCTGAGAAAGGTGGAGATGAAATGACTAGGTCATTACCACGATCCCTTCACCCTTAACCAAAAGTCTCGAATTAGAGTCCTCAGAATGGAAAAACTTCTTGTAAGAAGTGCTTTCCCTTTATGTAGACACTCCGGTGCGAATTCAGATTAGTCGAGCAGGCAGATTTGGATACGGAGTAGAAACGGGTAGTTGGTTCTTTGTGTTGTTTTGCTTTTTTTTTTCATAAGCTTGTTGTTTGGTATTAGCTAGTTTCACATGGATTGTGCAACCTAGGAAATCCTTCATTTATAGGAGAAAATTTAAAACTAACAAAAGAAAGAATTTCTCAAGAAATAGATGAAATTTAGGGGTAAGAAATGCATGCTTATGAACCTCTTTTCAGCTGAGTATGTAACAATTATGCAAATTTTCGGATATTCAATTCAACCTAAGGGCGTTGCATATCTTTAAATAAAGAATGAAGGGTTTAAACCATAATATTTAGTCTTAGTAAGTAACTTTAAGTGATGGATAGCTTTGCTTCTAATGGAAAAATGATTTACAACAGAAAAACATTTGCTTTTAAGGGTTCTAATAATGAGTCAAACCTTTCATTTTCACATAGTTTTCATTGGCCTTAATTGTTTTGCATTTTAAGATTGTAATGATGATAAATTCTTCATTACAATTACTGGTTGTTTCCTATGCTTTAAAGGCATTGTTCCAAATTGGCAAAGAGAGTTAATAGATACTTGAGCAAGAAATACTAAGAAATTAAAATATAAACAAATGTTCATTACTGTTTCTGCCCTTCATGCTCTGACCCTTCAATTTGTTTGGAGATGATTTGGGGCGGATTTGAGCAATCAGCGTATATATCCCTGAATATCTGTGTATATTCCCATGTATATTAGTGTATATCTTCTTATTTCCTGTATATCATGTATATGTGTGTGTATCCATGAATTTCTATGTGTGATATACACTGATATATATGGTGTATAATGTGATATATACATGTCGCAAAAATGTTTTTCAAGTCTGAAATTTAGATCCAACCAATACAAATAACCTCGTTCTTCCTCAAATTTTGTATATAATTTTTGTAGGTGTTTCAATGAATCCCAACACAACCACTCGAAAAAACACCGTATTAAAAATAGTTTAAATTCGAGTTTTATTATAATTTCAATATTGGAATTTTGACAAGATTTTTCGCTCATGAATTTTGTGGAGTAGTGGAGAAATTCGATGATTCAGAGGTGATATGGATAATGGAGGATCAAAGGAATCAGTCCGCTTGGTAGAGGGTGCATAACCAGGGGCGGATTTAGGGGGCAGAAGGGGGTTCATCCGAACCCCCTTCGTCGAAAAATTACACTGTTTATATAAGGCAAAATCTGTTTTTTTATCTCCATATATCAAGTTTTGAACCCCCTTAACATAACCAAAAAGTGTAGTTTAGTGGTCAAGAGGGTTCATAACCTTCATAAGGTCATAGGTTCAATTTTCACTAGTTAAAAAAAAAAAATTTTAAACCCCCTTCGTAAAGATGCTGCCTCCGCCATTGTGCATAACTCATGCAATATTGCTAAAGACGGGATTGGGCTATTCCTTGCCATATTTTGGGCTACATTTGCTAAGCCTAATCTTTGACAAAAAAATATGGGGGAATGACACAATTACCACAAAAGCAAAATTATTTACTCTTGTCTATCCATAAATTAATTATATTTCCTACCATAGTAGTTTTTGTGAGGAATTTTTCCTTTATTCTCCAATTCTTTTTTATTTCTGTTCTTCTTTTCTTTTTTTTCTTTTTTTTTCTCCTTTTCTTTTTTCTTGTTTTCTTCTTCTTTTTTTTTTCTTTTTTTCTTTTCTAATTTCATTTAACTTCTTTTTTTTTTTTATATTCTTTTCTCTTCATAATCTAATTTTATTTACTGTTTTTACTATTTTTATTATTCTTTTTTTATACTATTACTAAAGAAAAATCAAATCGTGTATCAATTAAATGTAGCTAATACAACCAAAAAATATTAACTAACATATGATGTCAGTATAATATATAGCTATACCAATAGGGTATACAATTGTACGCAAATAGTTAAAAAAAATTTAGTTCAATTATTAAACTGAATAATATCAATTGTCAATAAAAATTTCAAAAAAATCTAAAAGGCTCTAATTGTATGAGTATACCATTACATTATATAGCATACTATAATTTATTTATTTTTTTGTATTTTCAATTTGCCCCTCATGCTAGGTAAAAGCTTAAAGCAAATTAAAAAGGAAAAGGCAAGTGAATTTACGGGTAATAAGTATACTATTATATTATATTGTATACTATTACAGCTAGGGGTGTACATAGGTCGGGTTGGTTCGGATTTTACAATTACCAAACCAAGCCAATTGTGTCGGGTTATTAAATCTAAAGACCGAACCAAACCAATAAAACTCGGGTTTTTCACTCTCGGTTTTTCTCGGGTTTACTCGGGTTTTCGGGTTATTCGGGTTTTTTCGGGATTTTTTCCGGTAAAATCTTCTTAGAACAAAATATATAAATTGTGCTCAAAATATTTCTTTAGTCCTAGTAAGATACAACTATATACAGTATCTTCTAAGAAAATAATACAAAATATGAGATATGTCATGGCATTATCCTAAAATATTCAACAATAAAGACAATAAACTTATGTAATATAAATGCCGCTAATTAAAAAGCCATAATAAAAATAAACATAATCTAAAAGTACTAAGTCATGCTAAAATAAGTAGACTAATAAGGGAGTATTAATTACATGACTAAACGCTAAAGAAAAAATAAAGATATGTTATGCATTTTTTTCTAAATTATTGCAAAACAAAAAATAGATATTCAATACATTCTCGTTCGTAGTATTGTGTTGAATGTCTTTTGTTAGCATTACTATTGATTTGGTTTTGGTTTGGGCTTTTGTTAGCACTATTTAATTTACTAATGTTAATGGCTATAAAACTTATTGGAACATTCAAAAGTTCTAAGTCCAACTTTGAAATAATACCTCAAAAGATAAAATTATGAAATCCTTTACGAAATATTTATAAATTACATCACAATAAGTATATTTATATATTAAATATATCTAAAATTTCTATATATGTAATGTCGGGTTGGTTTGGTTTCGCTTTGACTTTCTTTAGTTAAAACCAAACCAAACCAATTATGGTCGGGTTTTTTTTTCCAACCCGGGTTTTTATCGGGTTGGTGCGGTTTATCGGTTTTCTTTGTACACCCCTAATTACAGCATACTATTACAGTATATTGCATATTATTACGGTATACTATAACAATATAATGTATACTATAATAGTATACTGTTGCAGTATAACTATATACTCCTATAGTATATTGTGTACTGTAACGGTATACTATTAGGTAACTGTGTTCTTCTTCGATTATTACAATATACCGTTGCAGTATATTATAACTATAATAGTATACTGTTGCAGTATAGCTATATACTCCTACAGCCTATTGTATACCATTGCGGTATACTATTGGGTAGCTGTGTTCTTCTTCGATTTTCAGCTGAGAATTTCGATCCCAATCACCTCAAATCAGCTCCAAATGCTATCAAATTGCAGTATGAACTTCCAGAAGGTACTATAAGCAATATTTAACATCACCCATTTTGAATCAAACAATAAATCTTCAAAAATAAATTGAGCTTCAAGCCCAACAATGGTGGATATTCAAATACACATAAAAATTTAGATCTGGGAAGCTTACTCGAAGATACTATAAGCAATATTTTATAGCACCCACATTGAATCAAACAATAAATCTTAATAATAATAATAATAATAATAATAATAATAATAATAATAATATCTTTTTGTGCTCTCCAGGTGTCACGACCCGGATTTTTCTCACCATCGGGCGTCGTGATGGCGCCTACTAACGGAGCTAGGCCAGCCATACATTAAACATGCGCCATCCAACCTCAACAATATAATATACTAACAACAGTTAAAGAAATGCGGAAGACTTTAAGTTTAACAAAAAGATATAAAAATGCGAAAGTTTGAAACACATCCCTACCCAAAATCTGGTGTCACTAGCTCACGGACTACTATAGAATACTACAACAAGTCTGA